GTCGTCATCGTCGTGGTCGTCGTGGTCGTGGTGGTGGTCGTCCTAGTCGGAGCAGTCGTCGTAGCAGTATTAGCCTGTCGTTGTGTGTGTGTGTGGTTGTGTTTGCATGCTGCTTTCTTCGGTTGGAAGCTTGGAGCTCAAGCCGCCGTTTCCCGGCTTGTGTGTAGCTGTGAGCCATGCTCTTGCGCTTGTACCGCGGCTGCACTCTGATTTATTTTCTGTGGTTGGGGCTGTTAGCGCTTAGGTTCTGGGGTTTATTGCTCGAAAGTTTAGGGCTATAGGGCTTCATGGTTTAAGTTGAGGGCTTTTAGATTTTAGAGTTTATGTGGGATTGACTATAAGTCCTAGGCAGTATCAGGGAGAGCCCGGAAACAGAGCTTGCTTGAGAAAGTTGGTAAGGCCTTTGCAGATGGGTGTCCTTGGAGGTTTCCGATTTCTTGGGCTTGGGTGCTGACTCCCTCATCACATGCCTTCCACCGTTTTCAACGAAACTGTCTTGACTCTGGCATACAACTCGTCCTCGTAACCCTACTTCGTGCTCCCTGACAAGGGACCTGATTCAGAGAGTCTATATCTCCAAGGGTCCCCCTAATCCTAACTCCCAACTGAGACTACCTTGTAAGCTGCTAGTTAGAGCCTACTTGTTTGATCACACAAACCCTAGGGAGTTTTCGATAATCTATGACTACGGCTTATGGTTCGAAGTCGGGCTCCCCGGGCTCTTCTGGTAAAAAAAACACCCTAAACCCTACTTGGAGAGCCGGGGGACTTAGTAAGATAAGTAGAGTTTTGAGGACCTTAAAAAAGGATCCTAATTGGGGTTAATTATCATACTTATAAGTCCTCCGACCCTCCAAGTAAACCCCGGAGGGGCTACCCAGAGAGCCCAGTACCGTTTAATAATTAAGCGGCTTTGGGCGCTCTGGGTACAGTGTTCAAAAGCGCTATATTAACCCGGAATAACCTACTTTTTTCGGGTTCCTGATATATGATGATTTCTTTATATAAGTCCTCAAAAAGGTAGGTTCTTCCGGGTTAAGGTAAACCCTGAACCTTGCACCGTTGTCTTTTTCGGATGTGGGACTGCCGAAGTTTACCTCTGCCGCCGCAGACATGGAGCTCTTGAGCATGACCTTTCTACGGTTCAGAGGTCTAAGGTTCAGGGTTTTGGGATCTCTCATTCCTCAGGGTTTAGGGTTTAGGGGTTTAGGGTTCAGAGGTGTAGGGTTTAGGGGTTTTTCTTACACCCGGAACATCTTTAAAATGGTAGGACAGTGTGCAGGATTAGGGAGTGGAAGGTTATGAGGGCTGAGGGGTTTAGGGTCTAGCAAGCAGAGGTTAGGGTTGAGGGTTTAGGGTTGTTTGTCAGGTTGAGGTTGGTTGAATCCTTGACTGGGGCTTGGCTTCGCAACCTGCTAATTTCCCCTTGCCTGCTGAAGCTTTGGTCCAGGGTTTAGGAAAGTTCAGAGCTTATAGTAAACCCCATAAAAAGTTGGAAAACCGGATTAAGGCCAAATAGTGCTGGGATTCCCTATGTATCAATCTTAAGGGTCGAGGCTATTGGGTTTCCAACTTTTGGGCTTCTACTGCAGGGTTAAGGAACCGTTGGTTTAGGTCCTCGGGTCGAGGTCAGATTTTCAGGTCGACATGCCCAGAAGCACTGAACAAAAACAACGGGTAGCTAGGATGCCCAGTAGTACCCTTATTCCTTTTTCCTAGGTTCCTTATAAAGTTACCCAATACCAAAAAGAGAGGCTTTTTTATTCTTAGGTTACTGGGTATCCTAGGTAGTGTCAGCCTCGTCAACATAGCCTGCACGAGCCCTAAACTTCCTATCCCTACATCCGTATTCCCTGTAGCCCGTTTGACCATTGAGGTTACTTCTTTTGGGCGGCGCGACCCGCCTTGCGTTCTCGACAAAGTTCGATGATACCTCGCTGCTGACTCTCCCAAGGCCTTCTTTGGGTTTTGGGGGCCATAAAGTGTGTGATTAAGGCGGGGTTTAGGGGTTTAAGGTTTAGGGTTTGTTGGTTTAGGGGTTAGGGTGTGGGGTCTTCATTCGGACTCATGAGGGCTTAGGGTTTAGAGTTTCTGTATTTGTAAGGTTGTCTTGGGGAGGGTTTTAAACGGGCTTGTAACGGTTTAGTCAAGAAGGGCTCTATACGTTTTTACATGCTTTTCCAAGGATTCTGTGGGCTTCGTCAGGATGTTCGTTAGGAGGATTGATGTTGCGTGCTACCGTGTTTTATAGGTTATTTTTGTACCTAGGGGCTTGAATATTAATTTCCGAACTATGGAAGCTCCCTGTGCTCCGGTGTCGTGGCTCAAATTCAACAGTTTCGAGGTTTTTGGCTAAGGGCTTGCCGTCTTGAATTTTGAAGCACTCGGGAAACCCTAAACCCCAAACCCTGAACCCGAAACCTCAACCATAAACCCTAAACCTAAACCGTTTCTGTTTGTGTTCAGGCTACTTTGGAGTCTCTAAGGGCTTGAATCCAACCGTTTGGGCTGTTCTACCTGAAACTATAAACCCTCGGCTTTTCGGCATGGAATTTTCCACTGCATACGACGTCGTGCGCCTCGCCCTGGCAGCGTCATTGCTGGTTTACGTGTTCCGTGTTCATGCTGATGTTGTTTCACACATGTACTGGTTCATTGGCCTGCATCAGCTGCGACCGTACATAGCAGGGCTTCGGCAAGGCGCCTCTCATTGCCATCCGGTATGTTGCAGCATTCCTCAGCCGCAATCTCGCGGTGGCCAGCAAGCAATAACCAGATTTGGTCGAGAACTGTCACTCTGGGAGGGCTATGCGCGCTGACTGAGACGTGGGCGGCTGGGACCTGTCCCGGTGGAGCCGGCAGCGCCGCAGAACGGTGTTACTTCGGGCTTCTTCTCTAATCGGACGAGTCGCTGCACCTTTACCACCTGCTCCGGCCCACACTGCCGGCACGGACGGGGTCTCCACCTTTCCGGACTTGTCTCCCGTACAAGTCCAAACCTTCTGGCCTGGCCTTCCTACACCGCCTGCCAAACAGGATTTAGGGCTCGGGGGTTTAGGGTTTAGGGTTCTGCGCCTGCGATTTGGATCTTCGGGCGTAGCTCTGAAGCCTTCAGTCGACATACCGGCAGGCAATGAGTACTTAGAGGATCATTAGCCTTAGTAACTAGGGTTCCTTAACGGGTTCCTTTAAGGGTTCCGTAGCGGGGGGTTTAGGTTACTTAGAGGATCGTGGTATAAGTCCCCAAAATGGTGTTATCCTAATTATAACAGGCTTGTAACCAAAATTGCTTCCCAAGTCCCATGAGCCTTTAAGCAACGAGGGCCAGCTTCGAAACCAACAAATTTCGTGTGACGGGAGTCCATGACAGAACCCGGAACGTTGCTTGTGAAGGCGCTTGGGAGGGTTGAGGAAGGGGGTTGTTATGGCTGATAGGGGTTTTAGAGGGCCCCTCCCCTCTGCCCTTCAAAATTGTTAAACCCTGGATCCCAAACACTAAAACCTAGACCCTGAACCCTAAGCCGTTTCTAAAAGTCTCTACCCAGACCCTTGGAGAAATCCAGTTAAAGACGGATACCTCAAAACAGCACTGTCCTAGCCCAGATTTTCCGGATCCGGAAAAATCTGGCTAGAGCCCGTAATCCCAAACCCAAAGCCCTTCACCCTAGACGTCGATCCCTTGGAGGAACCGCCATAGAGCCCTTCACGGAACCCTTACATAACCCCGTGCAGGCACCCGTGAAGGAACGCCTGACGAAGCCCTAAACCCTCTGAGGGTAGCTTTCTAAATGAGGGTCCCTTGTTAGATCCTCTGTTTGGTACGGCACCTGTATACAAAGGACCCTGAAATGGACTTTAATTTAGAGAACTACCCTTATTATGAGGTGTAATACAGGAGAAATAAGGTCCCGGTGAAGGCACCCGTATGGAACGCTTCAGGGAGCCCTGGCCCTAAACCCCATGAGTCAGAGCTGTTGAAGGCAGAGGGGCCGAAGACTAGGAGATACTTCCCCAAATCATAATACTAATTCCTATTACGGCGCCCTACATTCTACTACATAGGTACCTTGGACCCGAAACTGGCCCTAAACCTATATTCTACTACATTGGTGCTTTGGACTTTGGACCCTAAACCCTAAACCCTACCTAAACCCTAAAGCCTAGATTCTACTACATAGGTGCTTTGGACCCTTGGTTAAAGGCAAGCCTTCCGAGCCTCCGTCTCCAATGGCAGCCCCTGGAGCTGCAATTCGTGGAAGCATTCTCTCTTTGTTGTTTATTTTCTCTCTCTCTCTCTCTCTCTCTCTCTCTCTCTCTCTCTCTCTCCTATATATATATATATGTATGTATGTATGTACATGTTTGCACAGAAAGTCATATATATATATATATATATATATATATACATCGCATATCGATGTCTACATCTAGATTATACATTTGTTTATCTACCTGTGTATATACATATGTGTATCTGTATATATGTACAGAGAGAGAGAGAGAGAGAGAGAGAGAGAGAGAGAGAGAGAGAGAGAGAGAGAGGGCTGTCTGTCTATCTCTGTGTGGATATTTTTCTACATATTAGTAGCTATAAGATAGACCGCTGTCCCAACACCCTTCGAATTATCAAGGCCTCTACATCAGACGTGCGTGGAGATCACAGTTCTTGAGGGCCCAGTCCGGGTTTTCTTAGGCGTACTTAGAAATCTTTTTTAATTTTTGGTTATTATAACACCGAAGAAACAGCTCAAATTATAATTCTGAGTTCAGTATAGTTTTAGGGTTTTAGGTTTAGGAACGCCTTCAGTGTTCGTTCTTCTTGCTGGCGATGCATCGTTTCTGTGACCGAGCTGGGTTAGACTTCTTACTCAATGATTTCGATCTTGTGTGCTGTGTGCTGTTTACGATGGCAGTCTGTTGTCCATGTGTACTTCTGTTATAGTTAAAGATTCTCATCATTCTCTTGAGAACTATTGTTCTCATTCTGACCGCTTCTCAGTATGAAAAGACTGTTTTACGGGTCTATGCCTCTTCAGACGTCCATATCCTTCTCTGAAAGTCTCATTCTGCTCTTGCGGGGCACGATTGGACCTTCCAGGTACTGGGCATCCCAGTAGACCCTTATTCCCTTTTTGTAGTCCCAGGTTCCTTATACTGTTACCCAATACCAAAAAGGGAACCCTTGTTCTTCCTAGGTTACTGGGCATCCTAGGTTATCATGCCATCGATGCAGATTCCAAAACTCGAGACCTCGAAACCCAGATTAGCTGCAGCTGAACCCCCCTGGAGCCGACACCTATTATACTGACTATAGGGGCCCGAATAATTAGCAATTCCATTTTGGGGGGTTGCTTACTATTATCGTACTATTCTAAGTATTATTAAGGCCCCTATAATATTCAGCCTCCTATAGTACCTTCCTTCGTCCGTTACCAGATCGCTTATTACAACAAGTACTATAGTCTCCATGGTATTAGTACCCTAAACCCTAAACCCTAAGCCGTAGTTTGAACCCCTGATGTTTTCCAAAAGAAATCCCCGAGCTCCCAAGGCACAGAGCCTTTCACTCTGGCCGGGAAGTCGATGTACTTCATCGTTCTGGACTTGGTGTTCTTCTGGTTGGGTCTTAGGACTTTAACTTTTTGGGTTTCTATATGAACCATAATAAGGAGGCTAAAAGTTTAACTTTTAGGGGGGGTTCAGAAGACAGCCAAGTGGAGCTGCAACGGAAATTAAGGCTGATACGGTTGAGGATGACAGCAAACATCACCGATTATCATGAATGTTGTTTCACCGCCTGGTTACCAGCAGCAGTAGTAGTAGTAGTAGTAGCAATAGTAGTAGTCGTAGTAGTAGTAGTAGTAGTCGTCGTAGTCGTAGTCGTAGTCGTAGTCGTAGTCGTAGTCGTAGTAGTAGTAGTAGTAGTAGTAGTAGTAGTAGTAGTAGTAGTAGTAGTAGTAGTAGTAGTAGTAGTAGTAGAAGCGGTAGCAGTAGCGGTGTTAGTAGTAGTAGTAGTAGTAGTAGCAGCAGCAGCAGGGAGAGCTGAGCGCGCCCCGCACTTAACTTCTGATTTTGGGGTCGATCACTCTCGTTTGCCACTTGAGGGCGTATGCAGGTTTGCCCTAAACCCTAAACCCTAAGCCCTAAACCCTAAACCCTAAGCCCTAAACCCCAAACCCTAAATTCTAAACCCTGAGGGTTGAGGGTTTGGGGGTTGCAGTGTCAGGGACAGGAACAACCGATCCAGAGCCTGCCAGACCCGACTCTAAGATTCTAGGATTCAGGGGATTAGGGTTGTAGGTTTTTAGGGGTTTAGGGTTTCGTTTCAGGGGTTTAGGGCTTCAGGGGTGTACGGTTTAGGGTATAGGCTTAAGGGTTTTAGAGTCTAGCATCGCTATGCAGCCAGGTTTGACCGCTCTCAGTTCTGGCAGATAAAGACCCTCGAATCAGTAATCCCACAATGTGGTGTTTTTGTAGGTGGCAATTTGGGAAACTTTTTAATTGCCCTTATGGTTCCTATACAGGTACCTATTCATAAATACTTTCCAGAGCCCCAAAACTACAACCCACTTGAAGGCTCATGGGACTTAGCAAATAAGGTTATGAGTAGGTTTTAATTAGGATAACCCCACTTACGGGACTTATAACCCCATTTATAACCTACCGACTAAGCCCCATGATCCTCTAAGGAGGCGCTAAGTCCTTAAAACCGAAATTTTCAGGATCCCCTGCTTTCAACCCCAGACCTTAAATCCCCAAACAGAAACGGTCCCGGCAGGACCGCTTTGCGCGCTCCGGCGCCCAGGCGCTTCAGGGCTAAACAGTGGTGCAGAATCGCTCAGTGTTGTGGTGCTTGAGACTTGTTTTCTTGCCGGGAATCTTTATTGATTGGGAGTCATGCTACTCTAAACCCGACACCCCGACCATATGCTTTCTTATCGAAAAAGCAGAATATCTCCGCTCGTTTCGGAGTTCTTTTGGGCACGGCCCGGCGCCAATGCTATTGAAGTTCGCGGTAGAATGTATATAACATTAGGCACATGGTACGATATTTCATATGTCTCTGTAATTATACCCTAAGCCCTAACACCCTAAATCCTAAACCGTATTATAAGTAACCTGAATCCTGACAATCCCTTCGCAGCGAAAGTTGCCCGCCGTTTGGGCCCTCCCACATGCCAATACCCTACATCCGAAAGCCTCAACCCCAAACCCGGACGCTGGAAACAACACTCACGGCGCTTTGCGCTTCCTCAACCGCAACACCCTGCAACTTGGGTACTCCCCACTCCGTAACAGCTGGATAGCGTTTTAATTTATAATTAATATAGTTATATGGGCGGTTGTCAAAATTAGTGTCCCTTTTTGGGTACCATAAAAATTAGGTGCCGTACTATAATGAGGACCCGAAAAGGGATCCTAATTTTGACAACCACCCATATATTGCCCTTAAAGATGACCCTAAATATGGATTGTTACAGGGTGGGGGCAGCACCCTTAAGCCTGCCACCTTCAAACGTGGCCCCAGCTCCTAAACCGAAAACGTCTGGTAGTACCCACTATTCAGCGTTTGCCCCGTATTCAAAGCAATTGTAGAGTCCGCCCTTATTCCGACGCCTTTTGCACGAGGTGCCATGCATGTCTGGAAACTTAGGGTGTTGGTGAGAAGGGTGCAGGATGTAAGGTTCACGTTTAGGAGCAGCACGTGAACTAGATCATGAAAGGACGGGCGGATGCACCCCTACCTCAAACCTAGAACCCAAACCCCCAACCCTAATCCCCTAATCCCTAAACCCTAAACGCTCAACCCTAATCCCCTAATCCCCTAAACCTTAGTCTATCTCACTCTTCTCCTGCTGCGGAGCAGCTAGTTGCATCTGGCTAATATAAGGGCCTAAATAATTGCCTATACTATTCTGGGGGATCCTTGTTCGAACTATAGTATAATAATGCCCCGAAGCCCGATTCTAACTATGAAGGCCCCTATGTTAGGTGCCGTGCTGCACCTTACCACACGTAGTTGGTCTTACAAGCATTCAATATGTACTTTATGCCCGCGTGTCCTGAGCTGCAAGTGCTTCATGAGCAGGCCGAAGACTACACCTACTGTAGCAAGTCGGCTGACTGGACCGCCACCGATTGCACACGGCTTCTCAAAAAAACCAGACGTAGTTCCTTGCTCTGAGGGGGGTGGAATTGATAAAGGCTTCGTCCTACAGTTGATGGATAAAGTCCTGCATTACCCTTTATAAGGAATATACCATAGTTCCCATGGTTTAGGGTCCTTAAGGTCATGCAGGATTTTGTCCATCAGCAGTACAGTAGGCTCCTCCTCAGCGCCCACATCTTCGCAGTCGTTTACTTGTAGTTGTACCCGGACCTGCTGTACAACACGAGGTGCCTCTAAAGTCTCACCCTCAAGGATTTGCGACTCGCTAAAGACTGAACCCTTGTAACGATTGAACTGTCTGGGCTTGCAGGATTCTTTCGTGTGTTTGCACGATTTTTTAGATGTTTTCAAGGGGGCTGTACGATGCCTGCATACAGGTTCGGAAGGGTAACTACTTAAAGGATCATGGATGGGACTTAGTAAGTAGGTTATCATTGGGGTTATAAGTCCCCTAAGTGGGGTTATCCTAATTATAGTCTACTTATAGCCTTACTTACTAAGCCCCATGAGCCTTTAAGTAGAGGAACTGGAAGCAACACGATTTCGAGAATAAAGAGGAGGATGCGACGAACAACTGCAGTCTTCTTGCGCAGCCCATTCTGTATTGTGACCGTCTCCCACACTGCAAGACGATTTCGGACAGCATCTTCACAGTTGGCTTCAGGATGTTGTACCGTATAGCACCCTCGTAAATTCCATTTTACGCAAGTAGCTGTATGAATTCAGTATAACCCATTGCAGTCATGCCTTAGGCGAAGATTCGGAGCCCTCTGGTTAGCATGCAACCTTCAAGCAAGCCGGAAGCGCTAAACCAAGCATCCCTGCACCCCTTACAAGGTGGCCTAGCTGGTCCGGCGCTTTCTACGCCCAACGCTGCATGTATGATCATGTAGATCTGCTTTAGTGGCTTTTGAAGGGTTTAGCGGGGAGAAGGCTCTAAACCTTAAGACACCAATAAAACCGAAACCTTAACCCTAGACCCGAAACTCGAAACCTTCACCCAGAGAGCCCAATAGGCCTTGACAAATCTAACTTAAATCAGTCGTTGAAGCCGCGTATAATCGAGGGTATATTCCTTAATTGGGCTTTCTGATTCTGGGCAGAGGACAAACAACACTGGCGGTGGCTACTGCGGAGGCACCATTGCTGGCATCCTCAGCACCCCAGCTGCACAATTTCTGGGGGTTTTGGTTGAGATCTATAATGGAGTTTCTGAAAAAAGAGAACCCTAATATACTACCCTAAATAGTCGGATCCTCAATTTCAGGACCCCAAAATATGGTACCCTAATTCTCGGAAACTCCCGCAAGGCTTCCTTCCTGTAAGGTCTGGTTTAGACGTAGGCCTGTGCCGAGCCTCCGGTCCGATGTCTTGCTCAAGGAAGCCTAGGATCCAATCTTTAGGATCATAGTACCTTTGGTTAGGGTTTAGGGGTTAGGGTTAAAGGTTTAGGGATTTATAGGGGTTAGGGGTTTCAGGTTTAGGGTTTAAGGATCCAATCTTCAGGATCATACTGTTGATGGACAAAATCCTGCATGACCTTCAGGATCCGAAATTATGGGAACTATGGTATATTCCTGCTAACGGGTAATGCAGGATTTTGTCCATCAGCAGTAGTACCTTTGGTTAGGGTTTAGCGGATTTTAGGGTTCAGGGGTTTAGGGTTTAGGGTTTAAGGCAAGGCATAGTAGAGGTCTAATCCCCCCTCAACTACCCTCTATATCACCCCCCAACTACCCTCTACTATATCCTGAGTACCCACTATCAAGGACCATAAAGGCTTTATTAAAGCGTCCCCGGGGAGTCCTGGAACCGACCAATGTTAGCCTCGAGACCCCCAAAAGGCAAGCTCAACCAGGGACATCCTAAACCCGAAATATTCAATCCTAAACTTAAACCTTCACAGGAGAATCCTAAACCTTAAGCCCTGTCATAGAAGAATCCTAGACCTTAAACCCTCACAGAAGAATCCTAAATCTTAAACTTAAACCCTGTCATAGAAGGAATCCTAGACCTTAAACCCTCATAGAAGAATCCTGAACCTTAAGCCCTCATAGAAGGCAAGCTCGACGACATCTTCAGCCCTAAATCCGAAACTGTGATGGAAGGCAAGCTCGACTACATCCAGGGCATGGGTTTCGATTGCATCTGGATCACGCCACCGGTCGACTCCAACGGCTATATGGGGTACGCTGCTAGGGCAGCAGATCTGGGGTGGTTGAGGCTTTAGGGTTGCGTTCCGCGTGAATAATATAGGTGCCTGAATAATTACCAATACTATTTTGGCGGTTTCTTTACTCAAAGTAAAGTATAGTGGGCCCCCAAACCCTATTCTAGTTATAAAGCCCCCGAAATTATTCATGTATCTACAAGGGTCATAAGAAGGGTTTGGGGAGTTTAGGGGTTTAGGGTTTAGGGTTCAGGCAGATGGGAACCTTGATTTAGAACTCAGGGTTTGAAAAGCTGGGCTTGGGGTTCAGAGTTGGGGAGTTGGGCTTAGCACTCAGTGCTTGAGGCGTTGCGCTTCGGGCTGAGGGTTTGGGTCTTGGGGGAACCAGCACTCCCAACCACCCCTTGTTAGGGCCGCTATTCAGGAGCACGAAGCCTCTACTATAGGGGCCTAGATAATTGCCTATCTTATTTTGGGGGTTCCTGATTACATTTATAGTATAATGGGCCCCAAAACCGAATTCTTTTATTCAGGCCCCTGTATTACACGGACAAAGAATTTGTTGAACCCCTCCTCAACGTGTAGCAAACCCGACCCTTGCAGCCGAAACTTGCAATGCGGGACGTTCACGGCTCACAGTTTGTAAAGGTGACTGGCAAGCAGGTTTGGACCAAGGAGAGCCCATTTATTATGGGGCACTCATCACCGCAACCCAGAACCGCTTCTAGAACCGCCTTAGAACCCTTGTAGAACCCTAATACAGCCCTTCGGGCATCCCTAGAAACCCTAATGGCCTTCTTGCTCTGAAGATGCCACAAACCTCTTGAAGATCAACCCAACCCTAAACCCTATAGATCCACCCCTTAAAGGACCCCCTGGGTTCCTTCGAGGATGCCATAAACCCTAAACCCCTAAACCCTAAACCCTGAACCCCTAAACCGAGGATGCCATACACCCTAAACCCCTAAACCCCTAAACCCTGGACCCCTAAACCCGAAGCCCCTAAACCCCCCAAACCCCTAAACCCTAAAGCCTTCTTCCTCCGAGGATGCCATAAACCTCTTCAAGATCAATCCCCACTTTGGCACCAGAGAGGACCTGAAGCAGCTCTCTAAGAGCTGCTCATCGTAACTTCTTAGGGTTTGCATTGCTTAATGTTTATATCTTGGGGGTTCCTTAAAGGGGTCTAGAAGGCACCTATATCAGGGTTCTATGATATAGGGGCCTAAATATACGGTTTAATGTTTAAATCTAGGGTTACAAGGGATCTATTATAGGGTTTAGGGTGATTACATGTTTATTATATGGCTTTGTATGCCCTAATTTTATGGTCTGCTTTTTCAAAGAACCCCGCCATGGTCTTGGTTAGGGGTTGGGGTGCTTGTGGCAGAGAGTGTACTTGAAGGCTCATGGGACTTGGTAAGTAGCTTATAACTGGGGTTATAAGTCCCCTAAGTGGGGTTATCCTAATTATAACCTACTTATAACCTGACTTACTAAGTTGAGCCTTCAAGTAGGCTTTTTTGGTCTGAAGTTCATGACTCAAGGTCCAGGTGTTTCATGTTCGCAGGTCGTATTAGAGTGTTAATTAAGACCCTAAATCCTGAAACCTAAAAGTTCGTGGTTTAGGGTTTCGGGGTTTAGGGTTTAGGGAATTACGCATTGTACAAACGACGACGTTTACAGGGGGGAATTGTTGCAATCACCGTGTTTGTCGCAACAGCAGTGGCGACGATAATATCACAATCACCACGTGCGCGGCACTGACACTTGACGCTGATGAAGCTAAACGGTAATTAGCAATGTGGACATCACGGGTGTGCTCTTAAGACAAAGCCAAGGCCTTCACGACAGGGGCATGTGCCTGGTCTTGGACATCGTGCTGAACCACATGCGCTCCCTGAAAGTGCCCGGGTCTTTGTTCGGACCTAGTAGTAGAAGAGGTAACCTTCATGTTTTTTGGGGGGTGGCATGTTCCTTAGGATTTCAATAAGGTCAACTTCTAGTTCGCGAGGGAACTGGGCAACTATGCTATTACAAGCAAGCCAGCATGATCGTACGATATACTACCGGCATTCTACCGGCTCAAATACCCGAACCCCAAACCGTGAACCCTAAATTCTGGAATCTTGGAGTTGCCACACATGCCAACAATCTACAAACACATCCCAAAATCCTTCGAACACCCGGAAATACCTCGAAAACCACTGACCACCCGGCTTGCATCTTCAGTCCGCTGTTTGAAACCCAGGTGAACGGCAAGCTGAATATCTCGTCCATTGTGCCTTTCAACAAGCCTGAGTACTACCACCAGCGGGGCCGCCGACCGGACCAAGCCTTCGAGGACAGGTTTCCCAGAGACTCCTTGAAAGGTTCCTTGAAGGGATCTTTAAGGGTTCTATAAGGGAATATAGTCCTTAGGGCTCTTGAAGAGATCCTTTAAGGGATCTCTAGGGTTTAGGGTTTAGGGGACTCCAATATCCCTTAATTAAGGAATAGTCCTCAAATCATATTAGGGATCTTGCTATAATTTAAGGTCTATTCCTCAATTCATGGATATTGGAGTCTTCGGGTTCGCTTTTAGTGCATACAGGTTGAAGGGCTGAGGGAGGGTTTCGTAAGGATAAGGGCTTAAGGATGTCTATTTTTTTGGTTTTCGGGCTCAGGGGTTTAGGGTTTTGGGTTTGGGGGTTTCAGCTTCTAGCCCCAAGACCTACGGTAAGTTTTTGAGGTTTTGAAGATAGCCCTTATAGGCTTAGACTACCATATCCTACCCTTTTGTAGGTTCATGTTATAAACCCACCTCTAGACTTTACAGGGGCCCTAACGTAGGTTAGCTTCCAAGAGACTCCAATATCCCTTAAACTAACAAATATTAATTGAAGCACCTGTGGGATCCTGCTGTACCTTCAGGTATATTCCTTAGTTGAGTCATATTGGAGCCCCCTAAACCCTAAACCCTATAGATCCCTTAAGATCCCTTGAAGGAACCCTAGGTCCTAGGTATTCCTTATCTCCAAGGGTAGAAGGAGGGACCCTTAATAAGGACCCCTAGGTATATACCCTTCATATAGCTATGATATACCCATTATATAGCCCATTATAGGGTAGGGGTCCCCATTAAGGCCCCCTCCTTTTCCCCTAAACCCCCTAAACCCCCAAACCTCTAAACCCTAAACCCTATACCCTTACCCTAGGCATCTAAGGACTCATATATTAAGGCTTTTGGGCCCAAAGACCATACTATATAAGGCTTTTGGGCTGTTTTGATGCCCAGGGTTATGGAATCCCTATAGATCCCTTTAAAGGGACCCTTAAAGGGTCCCTCCTTTTCCCCTTTGATTATCTAAGGACTCCTGGAGTCTCCGGGTTCCGGGTTCAGGGGCCCAGGCCCTCGGCTCGGAGCTTTAGGGCTTAGGGTTTAGGGTTTAGGGTTCAGGGTTCAGGGTTTAGGGTTCAGGGTTCAGGGTTTAGGGTTCAGGGTTTAGGGTTTAGGGTTTCGGGTTTAGGGCTTAGGGTTTAGGGTTTAGGGTTTAGGGATATGGGAGTTTCCGAAAATTAGGGGTTACCTTATTTGGGGGTACCTTAGGGTTCCTTTAAAGGGCTACTATAAGGGTACTATAAGGGGTTCCTTTAAAGGGCTCTATATGGGGTTTTAGAGTTTCCGAAAGTTAGGGTGTACCGTATTTTGGGATCCTTAAAACAAGGATCCTATTGTTTTAGGGTATTATCTTATAGGGTCCCCCATTTTTAGGAAACTCCCATATAAATCCTGAGGGTCCTTTAAAGGGATCTATAAGGGTACCTGTAAGGGGCTTCTTTAAGGGATCTATAGGGTTTTAGGGTTTAGGGTTGATGATATTATAAGTCCTGCATTACCTTAACGACCCTAGACTATGTGAATTATGGTATAGTCCTTATTATGGGTAATGCAGGATTTATATCATCAACCGTATAGAGGCCTTACTAATTACCTATACTATGTTCCTTGAAAGTGTTCCTTTTAACAGGGTCTGCAAGGACTACCATAGTTGTAAGGGGTCTTATCAGGGGCCTGGATAGTTACCTATACTATTTTGGTGGTCCCTTATCATGACTAAAGTATAATAATGCCCCAAAACCCCAGTCTAATTATCAAGGCCCCTACATGAGGGCCGAATTTTAGCGGTTTTGAACTTGGGGCTTTGGGTTTCCGGTTTGGGGCTTATAGGGCTTATTGGCACAGGGTTTAGGATCTCCCGAGAGAGCCCAACACCCCTTAATTTGAGGAGTTTGGCACAAAGTACCACCTGCAATTTGCTGCATCTTCCTTAAGTAGGGGGTGTGGGGCTCTCTGGGTTTCGAGGGTGTAGGTGTATTTGATTTAGGCTTTTGGGCACAAGGCTAAGGGTTTCAATTTCGATGCTTCTCGGTCGAAATTGGGCCTTTGCCATTACGTCGGGGCAGATGTTCCTCTTCTCGGGCGGACGACGTCTTGATGGATCCAAAAACTTTCCTTCAAAGGTTCCTTTCAGGGTCCCTTTAAGGGATCTATAGGGTTTTAGGGTTTAGGGTAGATCCCTTAATGGGCGGTTCTATAAAGTAGCCTTAGTAGTCTAGGGCTCTACTTTCTAGATCCTTCCGTTGTAGTATCCTTAAGGGAGGGGGGTCCAAGGGGGGTATATAGCCTAGTGATCCCTAATTCTCCCTAGTACTCCCTAAGGTTCCCTTACAGTCCCCTAAGGATTCCTTATACCCTCCCCCCTTGAACCACCCTCCCTTAAGGATCCTATAACTGCTGCTATGGGATTTCGTAGCGGCATTGGCGTGAGCGTTAAGGACGTGCCGTAAGAGATCGGTCTAGGGTCAGAATGATAGATTAGAACGGGCCCCCACCCTGTAATAGTGACTATAAGGATCATATTAGGGCCCCATTATATTCCTATTATACCACTATTACAGGGTGGGGGCCCCTTCTAAATGATAGATATTCCGGGGGTTTGGGACCCGTGGGACCCTTGGGTCGGCAGGAGTACCTCTTGAACGGCCCACCGCCGGCATTCGATGGCTCCACTGACAGCAAAAACCTGGCGGCGCTGGTGAAGAAGAGGAAGGTACCATATGGGAGTTTTATATAATAGGGCCCTAATATAATCCTATAAAATCCTTATAGTCGCCGTGATTTGGGGTTTAGGGTTGTTAGGAAGACTAGGATGCCCAGTAGTACCCTTATTCCCTTTTTGTAGTCCTAGGTTCCTTATAAAGTTACCCAATACCAAAAAGAGAGGCCTTTTTATTCTTAGGTTACTGGGTATCCTAGCCACCAGATGAGCTGAAAGATTTGATAGGTTCGTGGTACGTATTATTCCGGTAATGGCTCCCAATCCCAAGGGTAATTCTGATCATAAACGCCCGTGCATTACACCTCTTAGCCATGACCTCTGAGCTGCATAAGGCTTCAACCGTACATTATAGAACAATCGTTAATGTAGACACCCGGTTGCTAACCTTTCTCCTCAAGAAGGATCTGTCACAGGGATCTCAAAACTAAACTCCCAAATAGAGCAGGGTGCACCAACTGAAACAAGTTCATCTAGTAGTGCGATGAGCACACGCTACTTGGGAGTTTCCGTAAAATAGTACACTAAATCGTAGGATCCTTATTATAAGGACCCTAAATGAGGTACCCCTAAGTTTCGGAAACTCTCATTTACTGGAAACCTGGATTTCGTATTGCGTCACAGTCTCTTTCTTTAAACAGGGCCGGGATCCACCAAACTCCTGAATTCGGAACCCACCCTAAAGGTTTAGGGCTTACCTTAACCCGGAATAACCTACCTTTTTTAAGGACCTCTATAAGGAAATCATAATAAGGAGCCTAAAAAGGCAGGTTCTTCAGGGTTAAGGTAGGGTTTCACCCTGGAATCCTGGAGCTGCGCAAATATCCAATTCCCAGAAGGGCCCATGCATACTACCATTATGGAATTGGCCCCCCAAAGGCAGTTGATGATATTATAAATCCGGCATTACTCATAATAAGGAAGATACTATATTCCCCATAGTTTAGGGGCACTAAGGTCATGCAAGATTCATATCATCGACCGTAGTTCCACAATAATGCTCCTGGATTGTTTCGCAATGGAGCCCCCAACTTCGATAAACGGACGGGAGGGCTTCCACCTACTGGAGTTGAGAGGGGCATGAACAATAAGAAAACGGAAGCTACAGGTTTGTTTCGGGGTTCTATAAGGGCGCTATAGGGTATCATAGAGGGACCTTATCAATATGAACAGGGGTAGAATTTTGGTTCAACTGTTTTAGGGATTAGACGGTGGACACCATTGTCAAGGTCACCGCCATCGTCTCCCCCACACCGTCGTCTTCTTCCCACGCGGCCTGGAAATCCCAAGTCCAGCGAAGCGCCTACATTACATCGTTTGATGCAACGGCCGTTGTGTCACGGCGTGGCACGTATGCCCTAGCAAAAGAGAGCCATAGAGCGCCGTGTAAGTGGGCGCGACCCGTCTGTACAGAGTCATGGCATGTATAAAAAGTTGCTGTGCTACTACCTCCTGCTGGATTCAAGCGTCCTTACGGGCTCCACCTCGAAAGAAAGCAGCGATACTCGGCTGCTGTTTTGGCAGCTTGACCATCTGAGTCGATGGCGTTGGTAGCGGAGCATTCAATCGTCCAGAGAATGTAAGTCGATCTGTTGACGGCGTTCTCGAAACTTGTTGTGGAATCCTTTCGGCGCTCGATCCCTCGACAGCTGATTGCAGAATCTCATCAGGAGGGACATCTCGTCCTGCAGCTTGTTGTGTCTCTGTTGCAGGATGTTCATATCCTGGCACAATTTGTGCAGGTGGATCTCCTGAAGATACAATTGGCTGGCTATCCACTCCTCCCCGTGAAGATCCATGTAACGGAGCCATAGCGATGCCATGAGGATCGGTGGGGACCACGTCAGGTTGGGACCTATTATCGGGGGAGGATCGGGAGGCAGTAGGCGTCAATGTTGCTGTGTCGAGCGTAAGTACAACGACATACATGTCACGCTGAGCTTTCTGCATGGCACTCGAAGTCAAATCCAATGCACGCGGACTTTTGTCATCGTCCAAGATGAGAAATCCCCCGGCAGTCGGCGCCAGCACCGTGTAGTGTCCTGCGCTGGGGCTTGCACCGTGGTGCTGGATGACAGCTGCAAGGCGGCACGGTATCCACTGAATCGACGTGCTGTCGAGATCGTGGAAAACAGGCAGTCTGACTTTTGTGGGGATTTCGTATGCTTGTCGAGTTTTAGTGACTCGACCATCGCTATATGTAAATCTCGGCAGTTGCATGTACAGCCAATCGTTTGTACTGACCAAGGCTTGTCGATACTCTTGCGCGGACCAGTTGTTAATCAAGTGTTGCAGGTGGGGTTTATGCTTAGGGGGAGTAGGGAGACTAATACATTTCGCAAGCGATGTGGACGGGGTCCTCTGAAGAGGCTCGCTGAGAAGCTTGCGCCGGCCTTGCCACACACCCCTGAAGGACCTGGGTAAGAGGCGTGGATGGAGAAAGTCGATGAGCTCAGGGATGTCGTGTTGTCTCTGAGGTTCAGACCACCCCAAGAAGAGAAACCCCAGAATCTCAAAAGGGCCAGCATTGAGCTGACCTTTGAGCTGCTGCAGCACTTGAGGCAATGCATGCTCAAGGTGAGCTTGTCGCGCTGCGATAGTGAGCGAGTACAAGAATGCTATTGCATAACACTGGTTACCACGATTCCGGAAACGGTACAAATCATGTGTGGGTGAGGTTGATGATGACATGGCTGGTGTGTTGTCGCATGTGCCGGGGCTCAGACAGTCGTCGCTGGCAGTCAGTGCCGAGCTCATTGTCCGTAGGCCAATTTGGCCAACTGCTGTGCAATCGGCGACCTCTGAAGAGTTTCCTGGCGCATGTTGATGCCCACCAATTGCCATGCGGAGGAGCCCACTAGGCTCGTGAGAGCTTCGTGGACTTCGTGTGCCCGTTCGCCTCTCAAAGAAATGTCCAATTTGAACCTGGCCATGGGGATGGTGCGTGGTGCTGCTTCCAGTTTGTCCAGCCTCACCGTGCTGTGGAAAGCATGCACGATCTCTCCCTTGGTGTGCTCGAGGAGAAACGTCAAGATTCGAATGAGCTCCGTGTGGGTCATGCTGGCCTTGTTTTGGTTGAGTATCATCTTCTTGTCCTTGTGACAATAGCGAAGGAAGGTCCAGGCATTCTCCGAGTCCATCCAATCCGCTGCTTTCAACTTCTCCTTGGGAGGGTCGGTAGCCGTCATCCGCTGTATGCGGGCCATCATTTCCTTGAGGAGGCAAGCAAATAGCACGGTGCGTAGTGGAGATTGCAGGGCAGGCTCCCCACTCTCTCGTTTGGCGTTCCAGTCCTTGGAGATCTGATGAAGCTGCGGGATCACACTCCACTGGTCCTGGCGTACGAAGAGAATGAAGGATTTGTCCATGCGCTGCGCCGCCAACTGATCTTCGTGTTGAAGGAGGGCCTTTGCTATCAGTCGTACTGACTCCGTTTGTGGAGCTGCGGTGGAGGGCTTGGGTCCCCGATGGAAAGGACGCTGATCCCGGCGACGAGCGCCGTGGGGAGCTGTTGCCGTCGCAGGCTCCGGCTCCGGCCGGGGCCGTTTCGTGGGATTGGCATCCTCCTGTTGGTCCTCTGCGTCCACTGGCTCCGCTTTGGGCTCCGACTTGCTGTGCTGTCCTAGCAGGTTGGGACAACAGAAGGCGAAGATGTCGGCCTCCGGATTGAGTCCCTCGAGCTGCGTGCTCATCGTGCCTCCAAAAGTGGCGAGTGTATGCGATGCTAAGCTGATAAAGGACAGTGCATTGTTGCGAGTGCCGGCCCGGGGCCCACACCTTTCTTTTGCACCAGGGGCAGCTATGATCACGAACCACTTGGCTTTTGAAGCTATAGCAGAGGTCCAGGGCTTTCTTGTTAAGGCCGGGGTATTCGGGCTCATGGGTGCGTAAAATATGCTGCTTGACATGCTTGTGATCAGCACACCACATGTGGCACAGCACACAATGAGCCTGCAGGTCCGAGTGAAGGCGGGAATCTCTTAGCAGGCTTTCCCAACGACACAAGTTGGCAACAAAGCTGGGTCGCTCAATCAATGGTGCATTTTGGGCCGTACCGGTAGCTTCGTCCGTAGGCTGCTGGGCAGAGGGCGACGAGGCTTGCACCTGATCGACAACATGGTCATCGATGTGGGCATCAGCTTGGCGTACAGGGTGCTTGGTCAAGCTCTCGCCACCTAGCTTGTCACAAGCTCCGGACTGGATATGCTGCTTAAGGTTTTGCCACTTGTGGAACGTGCGTAGGCATAATCGGCACTGCGGTAAACCTCCTTTCGCGTGTTGACTAGGGACGAAGGTGGTTGGAGTAGAAGTGCTGTGTGTGGGCAGGATGGAGTGTGCAAGTTTGCAGTGAATCCGCATGGCATTCTCGGTGGGAAAAAGTTGATCACACTGTGGACAGGCAATTTGCGGCTCCACGGCTGAGGCAAGCACTTTCGCCTCGTCCTGTTGACGGAGCAGGCTGCTCATGGAATCCTCCAAGGACTGCAGGTGCTGCAGGATAGCATCACCGGTGGTGATGTCTGGATCACTATGTGCCTTGGCCTGAAGGCGTGCCCGAAAGCAGCGGAGCATCTGAAGAATGGCATCGCCTGGCATGTTCAGCTGAGTTTGCTGCCACACTGTATGGTTATCGGTGTGGGTAAGGTGCGCCGGTTGGCGGAGAATGGCACGTATGTGACGTGTGGCGGCTTTAGTGAGCCGATCCAACCCATCCTTAGTAAACCCAGTGGCTGGCAGTGAATAGTACATGCTGGTGGAGACACAGGCGGCCCAGAGCCGAAGGCGGTAACGAACATGTAGGGCATGATGTCCATTTAAGGTTTTGCGAAGTGCCTGATATTTGGCCTGTCCCGCCTGCAATCGATGTGTGGTGTTAGCATCAAGGCGGTGACGGTATGTGACCTTTGTACCGAGATACTCATGTGCCACCTTGATTGGTATTAGCTGCTCTTGATCGTGAACTCGAATGCACAAGTGCAACTCGTTGTTCTTCTTCTGTGTGTATTCTCGCAGGATGGCCTTGGCCTGTTTGCCTTCAAGTCTAAGAAGAATTGCCGTTTTCTTAAAATTGATAGACATGCGAAAAGCAATTAAGGTTTCCAACATTACAGTGAGTTGCTTCAATGCACTCTCGAAGTCTGCTCGGCTACAAATGGTCCAGTGACACCAGTGATCATCTGCAAAAAGCACAAGCACTTGCTGCAACCATTGTGGATCGAGACGATCCTGCAATTCCTGCATGAGGGCAATTGTGTAGAATGACCAAAGGTAAGGGGCAATGGAGCATCCCTGTTTTAAACCATTGGTAGTTTTTTGACCCCCCACACAGATACCGGAGCGAAAGATATACTCCGCATCCTTGTGCAATTGCTGAATGACTTGAATGGTGTCCTGGGCAACACCATGCTTGGCCAGTGTGCTGTGTATGATGGGACGACTGGCAAGATCGAATGCTTTGGTCAAGTCGAGTGATAAGGCTAATCCCCCGTAACAAGCAAGTGGTCGCAGGCCGCGGTATTGCTGAAAACGGTTTATTTGATTAGTGCGAATCACTCTGCTGACGTCTTCAAAGTGCATGTGTACTCTGAGGAGAGCATCGAACGTGCCGCGAGAGCGAGTGTATGCCCCACCGTCGTCATCACCATCATGATCAACAACAACATCAGCGCCAATGACGGCATTAGCATCATACCGTCAGCAATATATCCGGCATCATCAGCGTCATCATCAGCAGCATCTTCGGCATCTTCAGAAGCTTGAACTCCCTCAAGCAAACACTCCTCACCCAGGGGCTTAAGAATTAGACTTTTGGGCACTTTGTAACATAATTTCATAATCATAAGAAGGAACCCTAGGGAAGAATGTTGACAGCTGTTCAGGAATTCGGGCTTCCACACAAAAACTCCTATACCCCCGCATGACCATCTAAACGGAATGGGAGTTTCCGGAAATATGGGACCCTGATATAGTACCCTAAGTAGTAGGATCCCTATTTTAAGGACCCCAAAATAATGTACCCCTCATTTTCGGAGACTCCCAAATACCTCGCAGGCAACGTGTGGCCCCACAGTTCCTGAACAGACGGAGTGCGCGTGCCTCCCTGGGAACACGGGCCGGCGGCCCCGGGGGGCAACTTTGTTTAGGGTTTTGGGGTTTAGGGTTTCGGGGTTTAGGGTTTAGGTTGGGATTTAGAGTTTTGGGGTTTTGGGTTTAGGGGTTTAGGATTTAGGTTGGGGTTTTGGGTTTTGGGGTTCAGGGTTTAGTGGTTGAGGGTTTGGGGTTTCAGAGTTTCTTTGAGGGTTCCGTTAATGGGTTCCTGCCAGGGCCCCTGTGGAAGTTCTCTAAGGTCGTCTTAAGGACTAGGGTCGTTGTGTGTTTTTTTCTTTCCATAGGTTTGTTTGTACAAGGAGCGGGAAGGGCTTCTCTTGGGTTTCGAAGGGTGTTAGGGCTTCAGGATGTTGGGATGTTTCGTGTGGTTTCGATTTAAGGTTGGGCTGTGGGGTTTGCGAGGGTAAGATTTACAATCGCCCAGAGGGTTCAGGAATCGTCGTCAACAGACAGTGGAACGTGCTGTGACCTGGAAAGACGGTTCACACAACGTCTGTGGACTGTGGTTAACAACCCGAATGCCTAGAACAACATATGCCCATGGATGATTGCATTGAGAATGTTCTGTGAGCACAGCAGCAGCACCCTGCCATGCCGGTAGCACAACATCCATTCCTCGCCGGAAAAAAATGAATCTTGCTGCTTCCATGGTGCGAAATACTTCGACAACTACAGGCTGGTTTTTGGGGCGTGCTATGAGCACCGCCAGTTCACGTCTTGTCTGTATCCGCTGGTTGCCCTGAAACCACCTGTAAGCCTACAAGCCCGAAGCTGTAAGAGCCGCCCTGAATCCCTGATGAGGAGCCGCAACCCTAAACCCCAAGAGACACAACCCCCGAACACCCAAAAGCTTCAATCCAAACCCTCAGCCCAAAACCCTAAACCCTCAACCCTAAACCCTACCCTAAACCCTAAACCCTAGCGCGAAACCCATACATCCTCAACCCCCAGATTCTAAACAAGGAAGTCCTGAACACTCAAAAGCCTTGGACAAACAAACAAAAACCCTTAAGCCCATAGAAAAAACAAAGCCCAAATTATCAAAAAAGCAAACGCACACACACACACACATACACATGCAATCCCTCCTAGTCTCCTTTTGTATTCGGGGGTGGGGGTCCGGGGGACGTTCCAATACATTATTCCAGGGTTTCCTGGGGACACAGGATTGGGAAATGTATTGGCCGGTGGGTCGTTTTAGCATAGTATATATGGACACGAGTCCTTTTCATTTAAGCCACTGAGGCTTGCTGTATTTCAGTGCAGAAATGTACACAACACGCAGGAGATCTTACGCAAAGAGGGAAAGAGAGGGAGAGAGAGTTGCTTCGACCGCTCGGGTGGGATGCCTGCCAGCTGCAACGAGTGCGAAATCGAGCCGCCGCGATGGTTTATGTTGGCTCAGGGGCTCGCGTGTAGCCGGGGGTTGGGAGCTGGACCTGGACATGTGTCCCGGCTAGCAATTGTTTGCAGGGGTCTGCTATCCGAGACTGTCTCTGGTTGCCGAGGCCTCCGAAGAAAAAGGCCCGAAGGGCACCGGCTGCGGCAGATGGGGCGGATGGCTTAGGTGCGCTGCGACCGGTGATGAGATATGGGGTGCAGACCCAGTGGGCAGCCTCTTGGCTCAACTGTTTGGGTTTGGGTGGCGGTGGCGGGGGCTCCCGGATGCGTTTGAGGTTTGCTTTCCTTCACCGGCACTCACAAGTCGGGTCGCCTTCACCGCGGTGGGCGACAAGGACTTGGCGCAGGAGCTGTTCCAGACCTGCATTTTGTCAAGAACCCATGAGTATCAGCACCTCAGAAAGATCCTTGGCGTCTCAGGCTAGACATCTGCCGCATGCACACCGACATGTCGCGTGACGAGCTTCGTGTGCTGTGCTCCCTGACAGCATTGCCGTGCCCTATCAGCCCTTGCATGAAGACATCATCAGACGTCTGCGACTTGCTAGGCAAGACGCTGCGGTCCAAGGGTGGAGACAGCAAGGCCGCCACTGAGCGTCTTCATTTCATCCCAGCTTAGCATCGTGTTGGCCGCATGCTTGCTCCACTCAAAGTCCCACGCAGCCATTTGGCTTGCTGGGAGAAGCTGCTTAGAGATGAGCTCTCCGCTGTCCGCCATGGACATTGGAGCCCTCTTCAGGATGATGATGATGATGATGCGAGATCTCTTGCGGCTTCTTGCTCCTTGGCTTGCCGCGAGTCTGGTCTTGTGATGTCTGATGTGCATCTGGGCTCGGATGTCGAATGAGGTCCACATGTACTGTGGACGTGAGCTTCCGCGGCAGGCACTTGGAGGGAGACCGGTAGATCTGTGATGAGACCTGCACCAACCTGCCCAGACGACGATGGTCCCCAGTTCTTCCTCGTCGTCTGTTGCCCGGAGCTCAGCGGCTCCGTGTCTCTGCTCGCGTACGATTGAAGGGGGGATGTGAACATATATGTGAAGACGTTGTGCTGGGAGGCAAATGAGCTCACAAGCTGGAGTGTGCGGTGCCCAGTTGTCGGAGTGATTGTTAAAGTGTGGTGTTGAAGTTTTTCTTTTTCGGTTCCTAGGACGGGGAGTTGGTTCCCATGACGCCGCCGGGCATGCGCCCACAGGCTGTTCTATTCTGTGAGCGTTTATTCTGTGCGTGCGCAGCTGTGTTTTGCTGGCTAGGTGCCACATGATTGTGAGTCGGATTCTGTCTGGGCCCTTGCAACCCTGAGCCATTCCATTCCAGCCCCGTCATTCCTACTGTGGATCAGGACTGGCCTCCAATCATCTCTTCGAAGACACCTGGGTCGCTGGCTGTTGCTCATGTCTCAGTTTTGGGTTCGCTTTGTGTTTGCTGTCTTGTTGGGTGTGTTTGTGTGTGTGTGCGTGTGTGTCTGTGTGTCTGTTGACTCCAGGCTGCATCCTCGGCGAGAGCTCCGATGACCCCTCCTTGGCCTCCGACTCCTGCCCATGTCTCAGTGTTGGGGGTCGCCTCCTTTGTCGGGTGTTGCTGTGGGCCTGCGGAATCCAGGCCACGTCTTCGTGGGAAGCTCTGAGGACACCTCCTTGGCCTCCGACTCCCGCCCATGTCTCAGTGTTGGGGTCGCCTCCTTTGTTGGGTGTTGCGGTGGGTTTGCGGAATCCAGGCCACGTCTTCGTGGGAAGCTCCGAGGACGCCTCCTTGGCCTCCGGCTGCTCATGCCTCAGTTGAAGGTTCGCCTCCAATGTCGTGTGTTGCTGTGGGCTTGATGAATCCAGGTCGCATCAAGTATGAGATCTCCGATGACACCGCCTTGGCCTCCGGCTGATGCTCACGGCATGCACACGTCACAAAGCCTTGGATCCCCAGGCTTCACAATTTAGCCATAAACCCCAAACCCACACAACCGGACCCCAAGCCTTGCAGAAACCTTATGGACTTGCAACAACCTTAAAGCCCTAAGCATGCAACAACCTGGCACCTTAACCCCCTAACCTTTGTCATAGTTGGGTAACGTTTTACATGTTTATGGGTACTTAACCCTATAAGGAATATTTTTTACGCGTACGTAAAAGTAAAAAAAATTACGCGTACTTAAATCCAATAAGGACTAAGAATTTAAGTTTTTAATCCTATTCCAGCCATGAACAGACAAGACTAAGACCCACAAGGTCCTCTTGAAGCCTATATAATTGACCCTAAACCCTAAAGTCTTAAAACTACAAATCCCTACAATCTACCACGTTCACCCCGTAACCTACCCTAAAAACCTGCAATCTACCAGGGCTTATAGGGTTTAGGGCTACAATCTGCCACAGCCCGGTCCTGACATACCCTAAACCCTACACCCCAAACCCCTAAACCCTAAACGTCGAGGCCCAAGCTGTCCTTCCTACAACCCTCAGCAGCAGGCGCGGGATCTTTACTAGGGCCTACGGTGTTGTTTGGGTTTTGGAGTTTAGGGTTCTAGGGAGGCTTAGGGTTTAGGGATTAGGGTTTAGGGTTTTAGGGAGGTCCAGGGATTAGAGTTAAGGGTGAGTAGGGCTTCCTTGATAATGCCCAGTGTTTAGGTTCGGGGTTTGGTGATGTACCAGGTGCCAGGGTGTTGTAACAGAAACATTGAGATATGTTTCTCCCTTCGTGCCATGGTACTGTATGAGATTGAACAGCATGATACAACAGAAGAATACCAGGTAAGTTATATACGACACTAGACATTACACGTAGAATCATACGGTTGGCAGGTTTTCGCAGACCTCAGAGAATTGCCGGCGGACTGCCACCGTGCCTGCAAAGGCGAGTATATGGGAGCTTCCGAAAATTAGGGGTGCCTTAGTTTCGGGTCCTTATAATAAGGAACCTACTATTTAGGGTACTTTATTAGGGTCCCCTATTTTCGGAAACTCCCATATGAAACGAGGACATCCGATTGCTTGGACAGGCTGCTCAGTGGAGACGTGCCTCCAGTGGGTGAAGTGGCAGGTGCGTTTTCAGGAAGCTTTGTGGCTTGATTGACGACAAGAATGGGCGCCTGCAGTTGGTACCTTCGGGACGACCTGAACGCTACTGGGGTATGAGGCTCACATACCATACAGGGATTCATAGCATATGGGTATAGGGCCTCTACTTCTAAGGCTCATTTGGTCCTTCAAGTAGGCAAAGCCGTGGACGGATGACTCGGACCGCTGCCCGACTACATCGAGAGAAATGCGCTGTCGCCAGCAGATTGGGCCAGGATGCTGCACAGGGCGAGGACGACGAACCTGAGGATGTGAACCCCATGGGTCACCGTCTACAACTTTGGTTTTCAATCGAAGCCCAGGCCGCACTCTTAGGACTCTGTTTGGGGATAAAGTTGTCGTACGTTCGACGCAGATTCCCAGTGTTTCGCAGGGACTTGTGTTTGAACTTTGCATTTTCTTCTCCTTTGGGCTCCAAGTATACATGTCGTACTGATGGTCGGGTTTTACTGTCTCCAATTGAAGCCTCAAACCTTAAAGCGCTTGGGGTTGCAAAAGGGCTTAGGGCTTAATTAGACTTTTTAGGCCGTGTGGGGTCCTTGGTATGCTGTTGGCTTGGCCTTGACTAACCTTCAGTTCTCGAACTTTGGTGCTTTAAAGGTTCATGGTTAAGGGTGACCTGCACCTCAGTTCTAGATACTTACGCTTAGGGTGTTTTAATATGCAACGGTAGAAGGAGGGACCCTTGATAAGGACCCCTAGGTATATACCCTTAATATAGCTATTATATACCCCTTATATAGCCCATTATAGGGTAGGGTCCCCATTAAGGGTCCCTCCTTTTCCCCTTTTATAATATTAGAGCCTGACTACTTTATGACCCACAGTCCTTGCATAAATATGCTAGAATGAACCCCCGAGCCCAATTCGCATGATTGAGGCCCCTCAGCAGCCCTAACCCAGAGACTCCAATATCCCTTACTTAAGGAATATACCTTAAATTATAGTAGGATCCCTACTAGGATTTAAGGAATATTCCTTAATTAAGGGATATTGGAGTCTCTGGGAACCCTAAATCATGAAAACTTCAGCCGCAAAGAATATGCCTTAGCGCCCGAGCCCACCAGCCCACCTGAAAAGCCGTATGAACCACAGATCGGGAAGCTCTACTTAAAGGATCATGGGACTTAGTAAATAGGTTATAATTGGGGTTATAAGGCCCCTAAGTGGGGTTACCCTAATTATAACCTACTTATAACCTTACTTCCTAAGTCCCATGATCCTTTAAGCACACTCTAAACCGTGCCAACAAGAGTGAAAAACGGTAGATGTAAATCCTAAATCTTTCAAACCCTAAGTAAGCTCTAAACCCCTTAACCCTCAACCCTCTAAGCCCTACGCCCTAAATTCTCAGCCCTACGCCCCTAAGGCCTGATCCCCTTATAAGCACTAAGCTAAACCCTTAACCCCTGAGCCCGAACCCCTACACGCTCTAAACACCCAACCCTAAACCCCAAACCCTAAACCCGAAGCATTAAACCCTCAACCCTACTTGGAGGGTCGGGGGACTTAGTAAGTAGATAACAAGTAGACTCTCTCCAATATGCCCTACCCTGAAAGGTCGAGGGATGGTTCGGCTCCCTCGGTGATCTGAATCTGGGCTTTGGAGTACCCAAGTTTCATACGTTTTTGTTTTTGAACGGAAGGGTTCCTTTCAGGGTTCTTAGGTTCCTTTCAGGAGTACCCTGGCAGTAGAGTAGGCAACCTTTAGCCTGTTTTTTTTGTGTGTGTTTTTTTGGAGGGGGGGGGTACTATAGGGTACTATAATCCCAATACAATCGCAATATACTCCCAAAGCTGAACCTTTAGTTGCGCCGGATACTGGACAAGTATGTGTAGGGCCTTTATAAACTCTATACCAGGGTTCATAACAAGAACCTACCAAAAAAGTGGGTTATGGTAGCTTCAGGTAGACCGACAGTTGCCGCGACGGGTTACTTTCGTTACGCATTTCTGGGTTCTTCTGGAGAACCAGGCCTTAATACTTAACCCTAAACCCTAAACCCTAAACCGTGGTTGAGTTTTGTTGGGTTTAGGGTCCATGGGGACTCGGGTTCTGGAGAACCAGGCCTGAATGTTTGTCTGGGGTGGACCTGTTCCATAAAAGGACCCGTGATGATAAATATGAAAAGCACGTGTGCACTTGTTTTGGGTCTGTTCCTGCAAGGAATCATTGTGACATAAACGCCTATACTTTTTCCTAGCCCCAAACCCTAAACCCTACCGCCTATACTTTTGCCTAAACCCTAAACCTTAAACTGCAAAGCCCAGGAATCACAGCCACCCTTTTGTCCGTCAGCAGATGCTCAGCCGCCTGGCTGTAGGGGGTCACTTAAGGGTTCCTTTAAGGGGGACGTTAAAAGCTTTTTTTTAAGGGTTCCGTAAGAAAGCGCTTTTAAAGGATTGCGTTGTTTGAGGGTTCCGCTACAGGGCGCTTCAAAGGATTCCTGGTAAAGGTGATTCCGTTAAAGCTGTCTTTGAAAGATATCTTGGAGAGCGGATTCCGAAAAAATGGATCCTCAAAGGATTCCCTTTGATAGTTTCTTTTCATGGTGAAGTTTGCCTTCGATGGATTTCTTCAAGTGTCTCCTATAAGCGGTTCTTTGGAGGGTTCCTTTGAGGGTTTCCGTTTAAAGATCCCTGCAAAGGTACGAAATTGACTTTGCAGGTCGGGAGCAGCATATGAACTGCCGAGGCCGCGACTCCAAAGCCACAACTAACAAGGGTTTAGGGTTTAGGGTTTAGGGGTTTAGGGTTTAGGGTTTAGGGTTTAGGGGGTTTAGGGTTTAGGGTTTAGGGTTTAGGGTTTGGGGTTTAGGGTTTAGGGGTTTAGGGTTTGGGGTTTAGGGTTTAGGGTTTAGGGTTTGGGGTTTAGGGTTTGGGGGGTTCGGGCTTGAGGGTTTAGGGGTTATTGTAGCCATAAGCCCGAACCCTAAGACCCTAAGACCCTAAACTCCACTAGGTAGGCCCTTAGGACATTTTATATTTTCCCTTATTGGGGTTAAGAGGGTCTTGTTTACGAATATTTTTCAGAGGCTTTGAGGGGCCAACCTAGTCCAAACCCGAACCCCCAAACACCAAAGCTGCAGCAATAACCGAGACTGGGTCACGGGGCTCGTGGCAGACTACGACTTGGATGCCTTTCGCTTGGAACTGCGGCTCAAGTTAGTTTTTTCTAGACCTCCTTTTGCTGAAGTGATGGATTGCATTTGCTGCTTATTACATACACGGTCAGTAACCTACTATTGTAAGTAAGTGGAGCTATGGGGTTTTGCTGCGAATCGGGCCGCAGAAAGGGTACAGGCGTAGAAACCCTGAACCCTGATCCCGATTTCGAAGTTTGGTGTCGGTAGGAGTCTTGGAACATCACAGGTTTGGCACGTCGGGTAGCGAATTGAACTCCTAGAATAAGGGTTGGGGGTGTATTGTAGTATAGGTTCGAAATGGTAACACAAAGACCTACGTAGAACCAACTCAGGGCCCTCAAGCCCGAAACCCTAAACATCCCTAGACCCTTTACCCTCGAAACCGCAATCCGTAAACCCTAAACTGTTAAACTTTCAAGCCTTAAACGTAAAAATCTTCAAACCCTTCATCTCTTAACCATGAACCCTTAAACCCTAATTAAGCTGTTAACCCAAACCCAAACCTTGTGTCCCAGGACACGGCCATCTACATTGACCCGACCTTTGTGAGTGAGGCTGGAGTTTGGCCGAAGTTTAGCTTTGGGGCTTTCATGAACATGATGGTATATTAAGGTACAGGGGCGATAAGAGAATACTGTTTCAATTATTCCGGACGCCTTTATTACCCTAAACCCTACACCCTAAACTTTCTAAACCCTAAACCCCAACCCTAAACCCCTAAACTGTCGTAGATCGGATGCCAATGTTCTGTGCAAGTTGCATCACAGGACCCTTGGTCGCGGGGCCCTTCAAGGAGGTTCCCTCAACCCTACTTAAAGGATCATGGGACTTAGTAAGTAGGTTATAATTGGGGTTATAAGTCCCCTAAGTGGGGCTACCCTATTTAGAACGTACTTATAAACCTACTTACTAAGTCCCATGAGCCTTTAAGTAGACCCTAAACCCTAAACCCTTCTCATAGAAACCTATAGTACCCTTAAAAGGAACCCTAAGCCCTTACTTACTAAGTCCCACGAGCCTTCAAGTAACCGGGCCCCTCCAGGAGATCCCCTAAACCCTAACTGCCTAAACCCCTAAACCGCAAACCTTAGAAGCTGACCCCACCCTGTAATAGTGACTGTAAGGATTATATTAGCGCCCTATTATATTCCTATTATACCACTACTACAGGGTGGGGGCCCCTTCTAAACCCTAAATTACTAAACCCCAAAAAACCCTGCAAGGAGGTTCAAGGCACTTCCAAGTCGCTGTGAGGTTCAACAAGCCGTTGGCATCGAGATACTCGGCGAGGCCAGCATGCAAACCAGAAGGACTCAGTAAAGAAGGGCGCGGGGACTGTGGGTCTTTAGGGCCACGAGATTTAGGGGTTTCGGGCTTAGGGACAGGGTTGAGAGTTGAGGGTTTAGTGTATAGGGGTCTTTAGGAGTTGGAGCATTTAGGGTGCAGGGGTATGTGGCAATACACTTGCCGATTACAGCAAATACCAACGCGGTCGTTGGCATTGTTGTGTTGCCGCGAGTGTTCAGGGGGTTTAGGTTCTCCAGCAGTTCGCATGGGCCCTAGCAATGTGAACGGCTTTTTGGGGTGCACTATAATATACGTTTCATCGGAGCCTTAATAATGTGGGAACCTGATTTAAAAAAAACCCTGGGCCTATAATCCCCAAATAGTAGTAGGATTCATATAAGGAACCCTAGTAAAGGCCCAAGGTTTCTTAATCAGGATACTACATTCTTATAGCACCCTTATAGATCCCTTATTGTCCCCCTCATAGACCCCTTTAAAGGAACCCTAGGGTTCCTACAGAATAGCCTGAATTCAGGCCACACGAATATCCGTACGGTAGACTTTGTAAACTCGATGCATCGCCCTGGCTTTTGCCTGTTGTCAAGGTTATCATCAGCGATGAGCGAAGGACTCTTAGTGTGGCCTTAAGTAGCAACATCACGCCCTAGGGCTTATATGAAAAGTATACTGCGTAAGAATGAGGGTTTAGGGTTTAGAGGTTTAGGGTGTAGGGTAAAAGTATACCCCAAAACCCATGCTAATTGTTACGCCCCCTGTGAACTGCTGGCGAGCTTCGGTCGAAGGTTTCCTCTTATGGGTTGAAGACTTAAACCCTGGACCCCAAACCCTAAACCCTAAGAGGCTGAGTACAGGAGCTTAGGCTGCGGAGTTGTGTTCCGGGCTTGCGAAATCATATTCTTGGACATGGGCTTTGGGTTTAGGACCGAAAGTAGGCCTCGTGATTAGGATTGAACTTTTAGGGTGTAGGGTTGAGGGTTCAGGTTGGCTTTACGGCTTTACGTTGTGCATGGTTTCACGGTCCAATAACTGATGACAGTGCGCTCATCCCACCCGCATCTCGCGGACACTGAAACAGGCTTGGAGTAGTCTGCTGTGCGTCCTTAAGTGGACAGGGGGAATCATGCTACTAGATGGCGTGTTGCCCTCGCACGGCTTTTGAGTATGCATGTATGTACCTATGTATGCCTGTGTATGTATGTATGTATGTATGTATGTATGTATGTCTGTATGTGTGTATTTTATCATGTATTTACAAACATGCATACATATAATAAAATAGAATATAGTATATTAAGATATAAAGTGTATGTATTATCATAAGGTAACGCACACACATATACATATATATATATGTATATATGTTTATATGTTTGTATATAGATATGGACATGATATTTATGTATGCGTGTATACATAGATGCTGTAAACCCTCGTAGCAAAGCAGCAAAATTCCATCGCCAGTATTCGTAGATACCATGGGAAGTGGGAGTTTCCGAAAACAGGGGACCCTAATATAGCACCCTAAATCGTAGGATCCTTATCATAAGGACCCCAAAAGATGGTACCCCTAATTTTCGCAAACTCCCAAGTAGGGGCATGTCTTTGTGGCAGCGGCACTCCCGGAGATCCGACAGCACCAAGCTTCATGCCGGAGGCCCTCCCAGAGACTCCAATATCCCTTAATAAAGGAGTATTCGTTAAATTATAGTAGGATCCCTAATAGGATTTAAGGAATATACCTTAAATTATAGTAGGATCACTAATAGGATTTAAGGAATATTCCTTATTTAAGGGATATTGGAGTCTCTGGGCTTCTCGGTTTAGGGTTTAGGGTACTCAGAGGATCATGGGACTTAGTAAGTAGCTTATAATTGGGGTTATAAGTCCCCTAAGTGGGGTTATCCTAATTATAAGCTACTTATAACCTTACTTACTAAGTCCCATGAGCCTTTAAGTAGCCCCCTGTGCTACTGATCATCAACTTCAGCATCCTGGAAACAATGCAAATCTCCCGTAGAACATCCGATTCCCCAGCAGCAGGAGGGTCCCGAAAGCCCATTGAATCCCTAACCCCTGCTTGAATCACTAAAACCCTAAACCCGAAACCCCAAACCTCTAAACTCCTAAAACCCCAAACCCTAAAGCCCTGAACCCTAAACCCTAAACTCTAAAGCCCTGAACCCAAACCCCTGAATCCCCATCTCCTCTCCCATAGCCTATAGGGCCCAAGCCTGAAAGCCTTGAAATCCAAAACCCTACTTAAAGGCTTATGGGACTTAGTAAGTAAGGGCTTAGGGTTCCCTTTAAGGGTACTATAGGGTCCTATAATAAGGGTTTAGGGTTTAGGGTCTACTTAAAGGCTCATGGGACTTAGTAAGTAAGGTTGTAAGTAGGTTGTAATTAGGATAACCCCAGTTAGGGGACATAACACCAGTCATAACTTACTAAGTCCCATGAGCCTCTAAGTAACCCCCAAACCATCAGGCCTAAACCCCTAAAGACCTGACAAGGCAACAGTGAGCAATCTGACGTACCAGGCGGGGAGGGCTTCGGGAGGTTTCCAAGGGTTCGGGCTTTAGGGTTATAGGGTTTGGTTCTTCGTGTACACTGTTTAGGGTTTTCCGGTTTTCTGTGTTGTTGTTCTGTGGTCCCGGGGTGTCAGCGTTGTTGGCTTCGGGTTTCGGATTTGAGGTTTTGGGTTCAGGGTTCAGGACCCCCAGAACGCCGTAGAATTGCCTTGCCAAAGCCTGAAATTCCTAAACCCTAAACCCTGAACGTCGTAAGCCCAAAAGCGCAAAAACTTGAATCTTCTCTGTAAACCTGGACCTCTGTCGGCCTCGAGTAGAAACTCAAAGCAGAACTTCCAGGGACTGCGCAAAGAGGCTTAGCAAGCCATGCTCCATCGCCGAATTATATCTCATTCAAGAAGTCAGACTGTGAGTACACTTGTTGAACATGTATCTGCAGACGCCCCCAAACAAAGCAGCTACTTTCAAACGGAAATTACTACTTAACGGGTCATGGGACTTATTTGGGTTATAAGTCGCCTAAGTTGGGTTATCCTTATAACCTACGTACAACCTTGCTTACTCAGTCCGATGAGTGAGCCTTTAAGTAGTTGGAGCCAGAAGGAGACATAGCCGATATAGGGTTAACAACCATCAAGGAGTTCCCGCCAAAATAGTACGGCACCCTGACAATAAGGATCCTAAAAGGGACAGTGTTTTAGAGAACTACCCAAACACTGCGAATGTTGACCCTCGTCAAGAGGATCCTGCAAATAAGGATGACAAAAAGGCAAAAGTGTCCCTGTGTTGAAGAAACCCTCCTTTGAAGGCTCCTATAAGTTATAGCGTATAAGGACTACTATAAGGGATCTATAAGGTTACTATAAGAGGTTTTGAGGGGTTTAGGGTTCTGTGCCCTTGATGGCAAGAGTTCGAGTCCTTAAGCTGCAGCTGCTGGGCTCTACGCCATTACCCCTGGTACCCTCAAATCTTGAAAGTTTTACCTCCTCAACTCTCGAGTTTAGGCTGTATTTGAGTAGCACCTGGTGTAAACCCTTGAGCCCGGAATCTTAAAGCAACCATGTCGGCGGAGAGGGAATGAAGTTAACTTCTTTTTGTCTCATGTGAAAGGATGTTCAAACGGCAGTATGCCTCTCTATGGCTGTCTCAGCACCGCCAGTTTCGTTAGGGCAGTTGTCATACCAACCCTGTAGGCCCAAACTTGTTTTACTTCCCTAGGAAGCCGCAGATCTTAGATAGCGAGACGAAGTCCCTCTCTCTCGCCATGTCCTGTGTGATTCTCGACGTGACACTACTGAGTGGCAGAGCCGTGCAAATCACAGCCACTGCCACTTGGAGGTTATTATGTACGATGTGTTGCGATTTGTCCTGTTCCAAGGGTATGACAGAGAGCTTGGGCTTTGAGAGTTGGGGACGGTGTATTGCTTGAGTCCAGGAGTCTTGGACCATGGAGGAGCTAAAACTTCAGGCGCAGAAAGCGCTGCAAACCGGAAGGGGCATGCTGCTCAATGCATCTGGGGACATCCTACATGGAGCCTTGACGGTAGGCCAAGCAAGTTTGAGGACGGGAGATATTTTGACTTTGCATCTGCGCGAGACAAGCATGGCAGCCACAGCTTCTGCCTTTGCGGCCGTTCTTAGTGTCGCTCGGCTGCTCTTGAGAATGTCCTTTTGGGGTTTCGGGCTTGGTTCGGGTTTTTTAAATGGCTTTTCAAAAGACTGCCCGACCAAAGCTAGCAACCACAAGTGATCTTCAAATCTTCAAACCGTTTCTCGCAGCCAACGGAAGCACATCCATGGCTCGTGCACCGTCATATGACCCCCATACTGACCTAGACCCGGGACGGTAACGGTCCGGGTGTGCTTCTTTACTGAGGAATGTAAGTTTATGAGGGTTCCAACCATGACATTGCTTATCCAAAAAACATGCTACAAATCCAGGGTAGAGGTAAGTTTGACATGAAATCCGTGAAGGATGGGTCTTTGGTAAGCTGGGGGAATCCCAACTCCGGCGGTGACAGCAGCTCTGTCCAACATCGGCTGCTGAATGTGCGCCAGGTCTCAGCCACTCATGGGGCGTGTCTGAGCTGTTCATTAAAGTAACCTTGTTGACGTGATTCTTCGGGTACAGGATCGCCCATGACATCCACAACCCTGTGCTGCAGATCCTACCCCAGAAGCCCACCTACCTCTCCAGAGTTGCTATTTAATGGCCCATCCTCAAGCCTTCAATAGGGTAAACCTCGCAGAACCCAGAACCCCGTGCAGCCCGCCTCAAAGCCTAAAAACCCTAAATTACAGGTTCGCCGCTCTCCTCGGCGATGGATCCGTGGCTAGGATGCCCAGTAGTACCCTTATTCCAATTTTGTAGTCCTAGGTTCCTTATAAAGTTACCCAATACCAAAAAGAGAGGCCTTTTTATTCTTAGGTTACTGGGTATCCTAGGTGGTAACTTGGGGGCGCAGCGAGACCGGCGGTGACAGCAGCGCTGTCCAGGAGCCGGGGGTTCTGAGGCTCGAGGGTTTTTTCGGTTTAAAGGGAACTCCAGAAAGTTGGAATATGGATTAATGGTAGGATCCCCTATAATTTACCTTAAAGGGGTTACGATAATGATATTCCAAGTTTCTGGCTTCTACTGTAGGGGTTTGAGGACTTCAGGCTAAACCCCTTAACTCTAAACCCTAAACCCCTAAACCTTTGTTAGGGTTTTAGTTTGGGGTTTAGAGTTTAGGGATCCAGGTCCGAAATCCCTGAACCTCAAGCTTCGACGGTAGCTCTTTGGCTTTGGTATCTTGGGGGTGTCGGTTTTAAGGGTGTGGGGCCTACGTCCGAGATCAGCCGCCTGTTGAGGGAGAATTAGACGGGAACCGTTATCCTACTTTCTAAAGTGCAGTAGAAACAGTCCTCACTCCTAGTTGTTTATTGCAGCGGAAAGTTACCTCTATGGATTTGGACACGTCTTCATGAACTTATGCCCTAAACCCTAAAACTTTAAACTTTAAAACACAACCCTGAAGACCGTAAGCTTCAAACCATAAACGCTAAACCATCCAGGATCGGCTTTCAAAGGTTTCGCAGATAAAAGCTACCGGCTTTGCTTTCGCTGCCATGCTACACGACGGGTCAGTAGTGACTTGGGGCGATTCGGACTACGGTGGCGACAGCAGCAGCGTGAGAGACGACCTCCAGAATGTGCAAGAGATTCTTGGCTCTCTTCTGGTCTGCCAATAGGATTGTAAATCTGTTTTGCTTGGTTGTGGTCACTTGTGCTCCTGAATAACCCCAAACCCTAGACCCTAGACCACTAAACCCTAAGCCCTAAATCCCCTTCCCTGATCCCTTTTACTAAAACCGTATAAACCCTACAGACCTTAGCAGCTGTGTAAGCCCATTGCACTCTCTAATTTTCATAGATCTCCAAGAAGGATAGAGGCCAATACTCCTTAATTAAGGAATATGGCTTAAATTATATAGGGCTTCATATTATGATTTAAGCTACATTCGTTAATTAAGGGGTATTGGGCTCTCTGGGAAGGATAGAGGCCACAGACCGCGCCTTTGCGGCACTCCTGATGGACGGATCTGTGAGAACTTGGGGAAGCGGCTACGATGGAGGAGACCGGCCTGGTTTGTCAAGGATGTAGGGTTTAGGGTTTGGGGTTTAGGGTTTAGGGTTTTAGTGTTTAGGGTTTAGGGTTTAGGGTTTTGTGTTGTGATTCATTAGGGTCTCGTGGGTCGTTTTGGTTTTAAATGGGTTTGTGTATAAGGACTTAGTGTATTGGAGTTTCAGCGGCTGTGTCAGAAAACTAATTCGAGGTGACTTACCAGAGGTTTCGGGGTGAGGGTTTAGGGTACCGCAATGAGGGTGTGCAGTCGCACTTTGCTTGCCCTTGCTATGGTACCTGAAGTGAGCTTCTTTGCAACCGCAAAAACACGAGCACGTCATGTAAATTCCGTCCAAATTTTCACCGATAGAGCCCTTAAGAGAAATTCAGAAACTACCCTAACCCCTAAATCCCAAACCCTGCACCCTCCAGGAGACTGCAAGACCGTGCAGGGCCAGCTTCGAGACGTTCGGGAAATCCGAGCGGCCCGGGGTGGCGCTTTTGCAGCCGTCCTCGGAGATGGCTCGGTGGTTGCTGGGTTCATTCTTTCAGGAAGCTCAGATTTGATACTACAGGGGTCGAAAAAATACCAACACTATTTCGGGGCTCCTTATCATAATTGTCCCTAAAATCATATCCTCAAACCTTGTTCTAATTGCTAAAGCTCATACACTGGATCAATCAGGCATAGCAGTTTTTGTCTGTCGTGAAAGGTCAAGCTTCGTATTTCTCATTTTTTGCCCATGGTGGTATCTTGACTAGAGTTTATGCAGGTTGCCTGGGGCTCCTCGCGTCACGGTGGGGACAATAGTTCCGTTCGGGATCAGCTGCGCAGTGTGAAGCAACTCCGAGCTTCTCACGGCGCCTTCGCTGCTATCCTTGCAGATGGCTCGGTCTTGACTTGGGGCCGTGCCGATGATGGCGGTGACAGCAGCTGGGCTTTGGAGTACCATACTTTAATAATTACTTTTTTCTTAAAGGAACCCTTATGAAATAAAAGTTTATACTTTTTCTCCCTGGTTACTTAAAAGCCCAGGCAGTGCAATCAGGGTGCAGCTTCAGAATGTGCAAGATATCCGAGCCACGGACAGCGCCTTTGCAGCCATCCTTGCTGACGGTTCCGTCGCGACATGGGGCAGCAGACTCTATGGGGGACTTTGCCAGACAGTGCAGCGCCCGCTTCAGAATGTCTTGCAGATCGATGCTACGGATCGGGCTTTCCTTGCCAACCTTGCAGATGGATCCCTGGTTACTTGGGGAGAGCCTCTGGAATCGAAACGGGCCTCAGACTGCTCACCAAAGCGGTTCACTAGTGCCAATCTGGTCGAGGCCGTATCTCTGCCCTCGAATGCTTGGATCCTCGTTGATGGTCCCATTGTTACATGGAAGAGCCCAGGCGAATGT